GCCCCAGGGAGGGTTCGCAGCCTTGCAGCGCACGTACCAGGCGGCAGCTTTGCCAGGCACAGCGCTGGGGGGCGAAAGCTCGTTTTGCTCTGCCAAAATCTAGGCTCGAGCAACGTGGCTGGAGCACAAGCGAGGGGGTAACCTGGTGGCACATCTGCAAGGAACATCGCATAAAAGGGATGGCAAGATACAGGCTGAGTGGAGAGCATCTGCAGGGAGAGTTAAATCCCAGCGATGGGCTCAAATAACAGAAACTGAGATGACTTTATGCCTATTTCAACCAAGAAAGCCTCATCTTTTTGAGTCAAATCCCAGAGCCACCCTGGGAAACGTTTCATTTACTGCCATGTAAAACTCGGCCAAATACCGACAGGTTATTTATGACCCTTCTTATTCCTCACAAACCCGTTTTTCTTGTTGACACACTGGGGTTTGTGGATAGCGGGGTCTGGAGTGCTTTAAAAACACACGGAGAGGAAACACTTCGGTGAATCAGCGTTGGTCCCCAAGCAGGGGTTGTGGTTGGCAGGAAATCTGGCTTGGTGGAAAGCTTGGCTTTTGGGGGAAAGGGGGGGTTGACAGCCCCGGTGTGCAGGGGCTGAAATGTCCCACCACACACCCGGGTGTGCATCACCCCCCGGGCAGGGAAGCATCTGGATTCAATGGTTCTGCTGCTTCTTTCAGATCACTTGGTTGTGATTGCACTGTACGACTTTCCTGCCTCAAGTGACCGTGACCTGCCGCTGGTCAAGGGGGAGAAACTCCAAGTCCTCTCCAAGTAAGTGACCTGCTGCCAGAGGGAGGTTCAAAGACGAGTGTGATGAGGCTGGGAAAAGGGGAACCTTGGGGTCAGGCACCAATGTGCAGCTCACCATAGCTGAACCTGTGTCTTGGCTCCAGCATGTGACTGTGGGTGCCCTCTTCTCTCTGCAAGGTGGAGAAGGTGACACTTCCATGCTTTCCTTGGATTAAGGATTACTTTGGGGTCAGGTGGTGTCCCTGCCTGGATACTACTGGGGCCTTCTTCACTGCCAGTGCACATGGGCGCAGAAGTACCATAAATAACAACAATAACCTATCTCCTGTTTCATATTTTGTGCTGATCGTGCTTTTGCAAAGGATGTGGGTTGGGCGTAGTCGGAGGAAAGGACAGAATCGAGCCAGAGAGGTGTGTGGTTTCATTTCACCTTCTTCTCAAACTCATGAGAGAAAAGGCGGACAGTCCGTCTGCCCAGTCCATTACAGGACAGAGGTGGGTTTGGGTCCCCCAGTCATGTGGCCTTGTAGGGATGTTCCAACCTTGACCTCTCTGAGACATGGTCTCCGGAGGTGACATTTCTCACCCGGATGCCATGGGCTGGGGCCCATGGGGCAGGGGAGACCACTGGGTGGGGCTGGCTTTTGGTCACGGCTGGTGGCTGAGTCAGTGGTGGGAGAGCAAAGCAGTGCGGTGTCTGGCAGATGAATGAAGGAGCAGAAAGGAGGAGCTCCGATGTCCCTCTGCAAAAGACAAAGTAAACCCACAGTGACCCAGATTTCCCTCCTTTCGCTTGGGGCACGTAGCAGAGTTTTGGGTCCGTGGTCACTCTGCACTTCCTCTGCATTCGTGGAAAGAGGCTGTCACCTCCAGAAGTCCCTGAGAGACCAACAGGCTTCAACTGGTGGTCCTAAGAAATTGAGCGAGACCTGTAGAGTGGATTACGGAGTGCTGGCCTATTTGCAGGGCTCAAAATCCCAGAAGCCATGCCATTCCCGCAGCCTCAGCCTGTCATGAAACCTCCTCCAGGCACTCATGCTTTCTCTTCTACTTGCTTTGCAGCGAGGGGGACTGGTGGCTGGCAAAATCCCTCAGCAGCGGGAGGAAAGGCTACATCCCTAGTAACTTCGTCGCACAAGTAGACAGTTTGGAAGAGGAAAAGTAAGTGTGAAAGCTTATGAATGGTGGACACTAATGCAGGGCTTTGCTTTCCAAAAGAGCTCAGTCCCTCAACAAGCTACAGGAACAGCTTTACTCGACGGCAGGAAGATGTGAGTGCTGGGCTGGATGGCAAGAGGTTTTCCACCATCCTCAACAGTGCTGACCAAAAGTTCAGGAGACGTTTTAAGCACCATGGGGGTGCAGAGCAGGAAGGGTGAGGTTGCAATCGGGAAAGTGGGCAAAGACTCCTGTCCCAGCGATTGCACCCACCATGGAAAACAAGAATTTTGTGGGATGAACATAAAGGTTACATTTGCGCTGGTAAATTAGTGGTGCCAGGGACCATCATCTGGCCCCACTGGGCCAGTCCACCCACACCCGTACTGTTAAACACCCTCAGCCTCCAAAAGGGTGTCCGTATGCAAACTGGGACTAGGGATCAGGCAGGAGGGGTTGCGTTGATCCAGGTCTTGGATGTGCCAGGGACCACACCAACAATTCAATGGGGCGGACAACTGAGTGCCAGTGCCCAGACCCACAGCCTGGTGCTATTTGTTTCATTAACCCAGAGGCAGCTTTCATGTTTGGCTCCCTGCAAAGAGGATGGTACGAAAGACTTAGGCCAAAAGGGTTTATTTTGCCTATAATACAAACAGCAGAGGAAATTGTGTCCATGACTTATTCTCCTCTATGGCATTCAGCTATAAATGATCATCCCTGCTTGCGACCTCCTCTTGAAGGGTCACAACCATCACTGAATCCAGCAAATATTTAACAGCGCACAGAAATGTAGTTGAGACATAAATGCTCTTTGCATCCAAAGGGTACATTTAAATGGTTATGATCATCCTATGTTCAACATCCAGCCCACATATCTGCTTTATTTGCAGCCTGCCTGGGCACTGCTCAGGGGAGCTGTGGGTCCCTGCGTGCCTCAGAGGCTGTGCTCTGGCTGAGCCTGCACCCCTCTCCTGTACAGGGTACTGCACATGCCACACTCTCTGCTCTGATTGAGTTGCTAGGCTGTGAAACAAACCCAAAACGACCCAAATCTGGTATTGATCTACTGAAAACAGTCTATTACTGGCACTTTCCAGCAGATAAAAAACTATTTGCTGATAAAAATAACCCACAGTTTCAGACTGTAATGGTAAAAAAAAAAAAAAAGGAACGAACTGGAAAGAATTTGCCTTTTTTTAGAGCTTTTCCTTTTCAAACAACAATTTTGCCTTTTCTGTCTCCCAGGTGGTATTTTAAAACTCTGAGCAGAAAGGATGCTGAACGGCTGTTGTTATCTTCCGGCAACAAAGTTGGCTCTTTCCTTGTCCGAGAGAGTGAAACCAGCAAAGGTGAGGTCTGCAGAGCCAAGGTAACTCCTTGTTCTTGCCACGGCTTGGAGAACATTTCAGACCTGAGCTGCAAGGTCCAGCTTTGTTGGCGTTTCTCTGATCTGGTTGGGCAAAAGGGCTTTTGTTGGGCTCAGCAGGGCTGTAGCAGTGAACTGGGGATTTGGAGGGCAGAGATTTGCTCATGATGTGACTTGTACGTGTAGTTCAGGCTGTGGTAAGGGTGGCTCTTGCCACCATAGTTTGTGGCAGAGATGCAGGAACACCTACAAGCAGAAAAGATTTTCCAAAACACTGTGTAGGGCGTTTCTTTTCCTTTTCTCCCCAAGGAAATGTTACTCTTTTGGCAAATGGAGATTATTTTATGCACTCTTGAAGAAGCATTTCTCCTGCTTGCAGCAGAAACTTGAAGAATTTTGGAAAAAGCCTTTTGATGAAACATTTTCTCAGAGGAAACATATTTTTCCTGATAGTTTGTAGCTGGTGGAATTGATGCAAACCAGGAGTTTTGGAAGGAGACTCACTGGAGCAGGAAAGATAGACTTCATAGACTTCATCCACTTTCCTTCCCCACAAACATGTCTGATTTTTGAAGACATGACCCAATGAGAATGGAAAGGGCAGAGTATTGTGGTCACTTCTCTTCGGCAATGGATAAAGTTATTAACTGTAATACTTAACCATGTAACTGCAATTTCTTTGTTCTGTGCTGTTAATTTGTAGACAATCTGGAAGTTAGTTTAGATTCACAGAATCACAGAATCACTGAGGTTGGAAAGGACCTTCAAGATCATCAAGTCCAACCATTAATGCAGCGCCACCGTGTACGCTGAACCATGTCCTGAAGCGCCACATCCACA